TCTCACACCCTATTTATAGAAAAATCCTAAAAGTGCCCCGAACGGGCCCCGCCGGGTCTGAAAAAGTCAAATTTGCACAGAAGTGCTCAAACGGCAAAACTCTATGAAATAAAAAGATTCATAATAAGAAAATATGAATAACGGAAGAAACGGCGTCGAAAACTGAGTCCCGAGCAGAAAGTTATGCCCTAAACAAGTTTGGCACTAACCGGGGCCAAAAATCCTGAAACTAGAAAATATCGACCAAAAGGGAATTCTAAGAGTACACGACTCGACAAAAAGTGAAAATGAATCCTGTACGAGGATCCAGGCTCAAAATAAGGCATTTAGCAATAACTTTCGTTAATTGCACAATGGCCCTTCCAAAAAGTGAAAACTGCGAAACTGCCCCAGAATGAAAATATCTTCCAAAAGATATTTTCTTAGATACCCCTGAAATAAAATATCTTCAAAAGATATTTACGAAAAACACCCCCCCAAGAAAAGAAAAAGTTTCTAAAGAACTTTGCATCCATGCCCCTATGGACACCGGGAGTAACCAGAGTACTTTCTTGCAAAAGTAAAGATACGTATTTCGTGGAAACTACTTAGAATGAAGATATATGAAGTCAAAAACCAACTCCGAATGCAAGAAGTGTGGTTATGCCAACAAAGTGACAAACGGGGAAAAGACAAAATAGGGAAAAAGATTAAATGAGGAAAAGGACAAAAAATGAATAGTGTCGAAAAACGAAAACTGTAGAAATGACTCGGTCCTCAAAGGAAGTTGTCATTCCAAAGAAAAGAGTCTCAGAAATCATTCCTGAGCACTCGAGACGACACTAAGCGACGAGGAACTGAACTCAGAAAGCAAAAGATCAACGGAAAAAAAAATATCCGTGAAAATCTGAGAAAGGGAAATGAATGAAAATGACCATGTTATTACAGATATAGTGCATATCAGTCCCTGTGTGGTAAAAAAAAATCCGACTATACTATCAATTTGGTGCCATTAGGTCCCTGATGGTGTAAAATGACGATAATACTTTCACTTCAGTTGAATAAATTAATGATTATAAATACCGGCCATGTAAAATGATCCTTTTGTCCAAATTTGTATAAAATAGGGTTTGTTTGGCAGAAGGATAATATAAACCTCAAAATGTATAAAATGGGGATAATCTAAACCTGAATATAATTAAATTTAAAACCAAACATGCCCTTTCATATTTTAAAATATAAATAAATTTATCAATTATATATATATATATATATATATGCACACCATGTATCATTCGGGCAAATCTGTTTTAGGGTAAATCATTTCAACCTCCGCCTCCATCGCTATTCTCGTTCTCAACTCTGAACTTACCCCTCTCTCTCTCTCTCTGCAACTGCAAACTACAAGAATCAGAAGTTCAAAACCCATATATTTTACTTTATCTATCTGCTACAAGAATCAAAAGTTCAAAACCCATATCGGCATATCATTTCATATTGTTCAAAAAATCAAACCCATATCTTTCTGTTTCCATCACCAGCTGTTCCAGTTCGGGTTCACCGTTCGCAAGCTTCAGCCGCTGTTTCAGTTCGGGTTCAACAAGTGACCATTGATTCCGGCGAAAACCAAGCTGCATTCCGAGCTCCTGTGAATTGATCGACAGCAAGCTTCACGGCGTGCTTGCCTTCTCCGATGACAAATCAGTGAACTCATCGACTTGCATTCGACTACGGTGAACAAAAACGGCAAGCTCTGTTTCAGTTTTATGAGCTCACTGATGTGTTTTTTCAACGGTGGGCCTAGGTAGCGTGGACACGTTGCCAAACTGAAATGGGTTTCGCCGAAGAGGAATGCATCGAATTGACTTGGGTTTTGCAGAAGCTTGGAGCTCACCGGAACTGGCCGAAGTGGACTTCACCGGAACTGGGTATAGTCTTGGTAGAAAATACTGATAAACATTACCTTGTTTATTAGTTCGTCATCAACCAAGTTACTGCTAATACTCTTGAATAGTTCAAACAGTGCTTCAACTTCACTAACACTGACTGAGGAACAAGAAATCACATATAAGTTTTCTCTAAAAATTAAATGAAATTGAAGTAAATATAGAAAAAAAAATTGCTCTGGTTTTCACTATTTAGCTTATATCACAGATTAATCTCAGAAGCTTTAGCCAAAACAATAATCAATCCTCATATGATACTTAACTCAATAAATTCCAAAAGCCATCAAATTAAACAAAAATAATAAAATTTCACCACACTGACATAATAATTTTTATATTAAAAAAAAAAAAAAAACCAACTTACAAGCTGTCTGTGAAGCAAGAACTACTGGGTCCTCGTGTCTAGAAAATTGCTTTTTTGCTATGGAATGAAAGCAGCCCATTTACTGAAGAATAACAGCTTCTTCGGTGCACTACGAAACTAGCGCCTGATGCTGGGACTTCAACTTCACTACAATATATCATCAAAACCATCTTACTGTTGGGTCTTCAATGAAATTTTTTGCTTGAGTTTTTTAATTTTCCCCCATAGAATTGAAGTAGACATGGAGAGAGAGAGAGAAAGAGACAAATTGGGTTTAGGGGTAGGGGTCCTTAAATGCACAATTGGTGAGGACCTTTTTATGCACAAATGGTGAGGGGCAAAATGGGAAATAAAAGGGTAAAATGAGATTTTTAGTTTTATTTTTTTGTAAAAAGTGGTCAGAGGGACCTGTTACGCACCTTTTTTGAATTTTGTGGACTTGCATGCGGAACTAGTTTTGCATAAAGTCTGTATGTCAAGAGAGTTTTTTGCACTTAATCCATAAAAATAACTAGCGTAAGATTTATTCATTGAGAAAATCATTTCACACAATTAATCTAATTTCAACACTACTGGTCTAGTTTGATTCAAATTAATATCATCATGTACATAACATGTGAAAGAGGCATGTTAGACCCGTTACAAGCACAATGACCAAGATAGATTTGACCCGGTCCAAAACAATGCAACCTGCCCGTTTGCCAGGTCTACTTCAATCCTAATTAGGGATGGCAATTTATCCTAACCCGGTGGGGAACAACCCTGTTTAAAGTGGGTTTGGAGAACCGTTTATTTAAATGTGGTGGGGATGGGGGTTGGGGGTTGAGAAAAAAAACCGTTCGGATTTGGGCAGGGGCAGAGCCTCCCCGTCCCGCAACCGTCCCGATTATATATGAAATTACTTTTATTAGTCTCTGCCATACTATTGTACTTACCGATTTAACATATTATATATATTATACACTTCTAAATAACCCTACTCATTTGTATCTTCTAAAGCGAGACGAGGCAAGCGGGGATGGGGATGGGACGGGGGCAGCTATGGAGATTAGGAGTAAAAAAATAATCGATTATGGAATGATTTTAGGGTGCCAAATTTAAACAGGAATGAGAATGAAAATGAGAAATCCGTTCTAACCCGTCCCATTGCCATTCCTAAATTCCCAATCCTTTAAAATCCATTTGGTTCCTTGATATCCAAAGACGGTACTAATTATATGGTACCTAACCATAAGCCGAGGCTGCCGAGCCAAACTCCAAATCTAATTTTTTAAAAATTATTACAGTATTTTATTTTATCATTTTTCAATTAGGTGAACAAGTGATACTACCAGATCCCCCTAAAAACCGTACGTGATACATACATACCTACACCGACTAAACAGCCTCTCTGTACATGGACCCTCCTACCAATTAGGGCAATGATTAGGTGGTAGTGGACATAACATCGTTATTTTCCACTTGCCATTAAAAGCAGCGGTGAAGATTAAAACTGAAGAAGAAGAAAATGGTAGTACGTTATCTAGTACGCAAAATCAAAAGGAACAAAACGAGGCAGGACTCACATTAGATATGTACCAGTACCACCCATTCCGCTAATCGGATTCATACCTCGCGTCCAATAAAGCAAGAATTGGATTAGGTTCGTCTTTTGCGTCTTTTGTGCGCTCTGTTTTTTCTCTCACTCGCTCTCTCTCCTGATTTCTCTTAATTTTTTACTTCGCTCTCTATTATATTATTATATTTATTGGTTTCGAATTTCGTTTTTCTTACTTTTGGTATTTATTAATTTACTATTTTATGTTTTGTAAATAATTTATTATTATATGTTGTTGGATGTTGCCTGTTGGTGGTATTCGATAAAATTTGATCTGTAATTCTGTTCCCCTCTGTAGATTGTGTTTTTAATAATAAAAAAAGGAATCTACCATCCATGACCCGAGCCCAATTAGGATTTATTTAGCTAAATATGACGAATTAGTTTTAATATATAAAAGCACCATGAATTTCATTTCAAAATAATGAAAATATAGAAGTGCCCTACGATGGTTGTAGTATATAAAAGTTCGTTAACATGTTTAGAAGATAAAATTCTTATGGTATGAAATTCTCAATCTGTTTCTCTCTTTATAGCAGCTGATGCATATAAGTTGGTGCTTCTTCAATCTACAAATTTCTTATGATGTAGTTGTCCTCGTCAAGAAGACCACCATAACATAACATGGCTCATGTAGCTTATTAGTAGCTTTTTAGATTTTCCGCATCAGTCGGTCCTTTTAATTGGCACAGCATGGCCTGCCCTCTCCATACTTTAATTATTACAAAACAAGGGTTTTTCTTCCTCCACGTACCAAACACCAGCACCAGCACCAGCACACTTTTTTTCTAGCTTCCAAATCTTTGCCCACACGGTTTCTAAAATTCTTGAAATTCATTAAAATGAACAATAGTTTGATAACACTTTTATTACCACACCAGCACATAGATCATTTACCTTTCCCTTGAATTATTAAACAATATTATTGTATAATATATCATTTCAAGCAATTCAAGTGTTAAATGTGTTTGCTGCCACAACAATCTATTGAGCTAACTTACTACAGAAATGTAATATGATTACAAGTCAAACTGGGATGAGTTTCAATCACCCAATTTTATTAGCTGCCCTTGAAAGCACTCTCAACAACCAAATGCGAGTTAGAAAGGATTTTTTATCGACCGTCTAAGACTGTAACTGTCATCTTATTTGTAGTAGATTGTGTTCCCGGCAGTGAAAATTCTGTGTCATCAGGGCTCCTCTCTGTATAGAAACCAGGTTGCTTAGGTTGGGGCAACATTGCACTCTCATTGTCCAACATTAAGAGCACTGATGACATGGTTGGCCTGTCTTCGGGGCATCGCTGCACACACAAAAGACCAACTTGTATGCATCTTAATACTTCTGACATTGGAAATGAATCCTCCATCACAGGATCTATTACTCCAAAGGCTTTTCCTTCACTCCATAGTTTCCATGCCTGAAACAGTACCCATATATCAAGGAAAAATATTTTATAGAAATCCCACAGAGGAAGAGAATTGTCAGAACTATGAACTTACATGTCCAAGAAGGTTAAGACCATGATTAGGATGATTGAACTGTCTGTTCCTTTTGCCACTCACTATTTCCAACACTAATACTCCAAAACTAAAGACATCTGATTTTATTGAAAAGATCCCATCAATGGTGTACTCTGGAGACATGTAACCACTGCATGCCATTGTTAGATATATAAATAAATTAATCAAAATTGAACCTAACCTGGTTAAAAATCTTTAGGTACTTACTAAGTTCCAACTACCATTTTTGTTTTTGCCAATTGTTGATCTGCTCCAAAAGCTCTTGCCATGCCAAAATCTGAAATTTTAGGATTCATTTCACTGTCCAGCAACACATTGCTGGCTTTGAGATCCCTATGAATAATTCTTAATCTTGAATCTCGATGAAGATAAAGGATCCCGCGAGCAATCCCAACAATGATATCAAAGCGCCTTCTCCATACAAAAAAATTGATCCTTGAGTTACCTGGCCCAGCTTTGAATCATATTAAAAGGAGAAGATATTTAGTATATTTTAGCTTGATGTAAGAATTAATGGAGTGATATAATTTATTTGGCTGGCAAACTTCTTTTGTATATTCATATCTAACATGAAATTCATTGTCAAGTATAACAAGATGTTGAGAGGACGAACCGAAAATCAAGGAATCCAAGCTTCCATTGGGCATGTACTCATAAATTAATAGTCTCTCTTCTCCTTGAATGCAACATCCCAAAAGCCTAACCAGATTTCGGTGTTGAAGTTTGGCAATCAACATGACCTCATTCTTGAACTCATTGAGACCTTGTCGGGAGCTCTCTGATAGCCTTTTCACTGCTATCTCTAGTCCATCTGATAGTTTTCCCTACATTTGCCAATCACCATGCCAAATATTTGGGTTCTGTTATTTTGGTTTCTTCTTTCTATATAGGTAAATTTAGTGATGTTAATATTACCTTATAAACAGGTCCAAAGCCACCCTCTCCAATCTTGTTTGAATGAGAAAAATTATTAGTTGCTTCTGCAATAGTCACCATATTGAATTTGGGTAATTCTAGGCTTTCCTCATAATTTGTATGAATCTCCAGTCGTGTACCTGTTAATAACAAAACTATAACAATGACAAGTTGGGTAGCAAAAGGTTAACATGTCTTTATGACAAACATTGTGTCTCAATTGTAACTTGACTAAGTGGTCACAGGGAATTTCAAGTTTTAAACATTTTGGGAGACTATGTAACATCAATTCTGTAGCATCACATCCGTTGTCTAAATCTTCTACTTAGAATCAGATGGTTCAACTTCATAGTTGTTTATGTTTCCCACTTGCTGCAATGAATTACTTTTCTTGATCTTCCCTTGACCAATGTTACTTACGACCGTTCCTCATCCAATTGACATGGCTGATTGATTTATCTTTTTAAAAAATTTATCCAATACATGATAATAATTTCAGAAGTGCTCAATAGTCATTGTCAAAATGGACAAGTCGGTGTGAAAAGGATATTCCGTTTTTTTTTTTTTTCTTCTTATTCTGTCAAAATTTTAACCAAAACAGTCAACCAGGGGGCAACTTCTAGCCAAGGACAAGGACAGGGTGCACTCAAATAAAGATACTGAGCCAGGAACAGGTCCTTGTATAGTTTTATGTATATTAGAATAAACAATGGAAACTCTCCAATGCCGAGAAAGTTCCGTTTATCATTTAGATGATCAAGAAACACATGATATGTTAAACTAATGCTGTCATTACATCAATGCATAAATTTATTAAGAATGGCTAACATCATATGAGAAAACTTCCTTAATATTCACTTAGAGAGTAACCATTCAATTTTATACTAAAAAGTATTTATTACACATAGTCAACTACAATCACAACAATTGTTTTTAAAACATGGTTTTATTTTTTCCTTTTGAGAGCCTTGTGATCTACATGTGTATATATATATATATATATATATATATATATATATATATATTACTTTTATATCAATCTGGCACACATAATGGTTCCTAAGTGTGTGCCCAAATTGGCAATGTCAGCTTTTAAGAAATTTGGCTGAACACGCTACAGATAGGTTGGTCATAAAGAATGGGATAAAAGTGCTAGCTATTTATCTTGTAAGGGAGAAGGTGGTACTCAATAATTGAAGATGTAGAGAGGCAGTCTAAGTACAAACTTTGACCTTTAGCATTAATCCTACAATGTGATTACCATAAGATTAGAACTTACTTTCAGTTTCTTGGCTGTTGAAACTTTTTACCACTGCCCCCAAGTAATTTCTATTCTCTGCTTGCATATCTCAAAAATTCAAAATATTAGCCAGGGGAAAAAAAAATCAAAATGTTAAAGATGTGTAGATAACTTACTTCGTTGGTGTGGTCTCCTCTTCCAAATGATACAAGAGACAATGAACAGCGTTAGGAAAACAATTGATGCAATGATGGCCACCACCACCACCACCACCTTCTTTTTCTTCTTGGGGTCTGATTTTGACACTAGAAAGCAAATCAAGATGAAAACCCAAATCTCAGCCAGGGAAGAGTTTTAGCAAATCTATTTAATGTATTCCTAGAACAAAATACAGAGCGAGTAAGTACCTCTGTCTTTAGATATAACCCGAATGTAAAGCTTCTGATTGCCAGGTTCTGTTAGTTTTCTAATATCAATGAGGTCCTTGAACCAGAGCAAGCAACCGCTGCCCCCTTTAGTAACATATATATTAGCATAAGCGGTACAAGAGCAATTCTTCAAGCACTCTGCTCTGCATTCCTCAATCGTCATACTAGTGTTAATCAAAAACTGTAACAAATCAGGCACTTTCACACTGTCAAGCTCTATAAATCCTTCATCTGCAGGACAATTTAATGGATTTTTCCTAATGCACCCACCAGGCCAGATAAGCATTTCCCAATCTTGTGGTGATTTAGGTGTGTATCCAGTCAAACAGCTGCAAATCCTAGGATCACTGATTGTGCAAATGGCATTAGGACCACACTGGGCATAATTATCACATCGGTCGCTGGGAAGTGAGTACATGACAAGCCATTCAAGGTTACTACTGTTCCATACAAGGCGTTGAGGTGCACCAGAGTAGCTTAACGTGGACCTTGTTAGAGTAGACTCGTCGGAGAGCTCATATGTATAATACACCTCTTCCGAATTAATGGTGACATTGGGGATGAAGGCAACATTGGGTGTAACAGTTGTGCTACCAAAGTGAACTCCATCCCAGGGTCCACTTCTGTACTGCTTAACAGAACCCTTACGAAGGACAACTTGTGGTAGTCCACCAATATCAACACCATAAGAGAATTCACCAGGAGAAGGATCATCTTCACTCTTCCATGATGTGAGATGTCGGTTCAAACTGATTCTCAGATCCCATCCTAACTTCATGCCTGGTAACAAAGTATCAGAGAGATGATCAAAGCTTTGCCAGAGATATCTTTCTTTGGAACCGTCGCTTTCATCTCTCAAAACAAGATTTCCGGAGTCTAGGAGCTGCGCAACAATAGTTTTTGATGACATATTCTTGATATTTGTAGACCAGGCGACACTTTCTGTGTGATGGAGAAGAATCAAATCTCCATTGCTCCCAATCTTCACGACACCTGATGTGTCATTAACCGGATAATTTCTATTTGCCACCCAGACAATGGTTTGCGGTGTGATACTGTAGTACCATATTCCTAAGTATCGGTTGTTTGAATTGTTGGGACTGAAGAAACCAAACTGGAATTTTTCTCCAGCGGATACTAAAGTTTCCCCATCAATAATTGAATGGTATGGACTTAATGTGTCAATTGCTATGGAGATTACTGTATGAGATAAAATGAAAGCAAAAGTACAACACAGAAAAGCAGAACTAACAAGAGTCATCATTAAATTAGGAAAAGGGTGTAAAGAGCACAACCCACCTAATTCAGGACCTTTGCACATAATTTCTCCAAGTTCCTGTGATGCCAGACACTCAATGAAGCTTTGCTTTTGTAGTCGGTCATCTTAAATCTCCGTTGGTACCTTAGGAGGAAACAAATATGCAGAAAGAGTATTTGGAGTGTGATTGTTCAAAATCATTCCTTTCATCTGAGAGCTTTCAATGAAATTGTTAGCCAGTCAACCATAGGCAACATCCAGGAACAACACCCCACGGTTACATTATTAAAAAACATCTTTCAGAATGATTATTCTATGTTAAGAATAGCTTTGCACTTTTGTTGTGTTCCGAATATGATAATCATCATTTTCTTCTTCTTTTTCCCTATTGTATAGACCATATCTAAATTCTTTCAAACTTCAATCTTATTTTAAATAATGCAGCTAAACTTGCACTTCTAAATTCACTAGAAGTCCAGTAAAAACCCAGGAAAATCCACGAAGGGTGGATTTACAAGCGGCAATTCATTAATTTATTTTTGTAGATTTTGATTATTATTATTATTATTATTATTTAAATATTGTTTAAGGAAATTAGCTATATGAATAATTCATGTCTGCGGAAATTCAAAATTTGCTATTTCTGTCACTCTGCTTCCATAATCCTTGACTCGACAATTGAGTTATGCGAAAAAAAAATCTTCGCAATTGTGTGGTACCCCCATCAAATGGGTTTAAATCTTTTTAACATATTTTTAATTCTTTCTATATAGGATTTGTGTTCTGTTAAAGCTGCTCATATAAAAAGGTACTTCTATTCCAAGTTGACAAAGGCAGGCTAGCTGTTCTTTTTCTTCTTATTCTTCTTCTGTTTTTTTTTTTGGAAATTAAGGAGTGTAGCAATTTCTGAAGTAAGCTTTGTATTTCTATTGATGCACAGGGTACAGCTCCTATGTTCACTCTTCTATCCACTCCTCCATTGTTTTATTATATTTTAAGGTATTCAAGGTCTCTTTCTCTCTTTTTCCCCTTTTCTTTATTTATTTTTTATTAATACATTTTCTCTACTTGTACCATTTCTTTTGGTTTTTCATTGGTGTATCTTTTTTAGGCCCATATAATATTCAACACTACCAGCGGACATGGCTTAAAATAACTGAATTCTTTGTCCTATCATCATCATGTTAGAGCATAAAACTATCAGTAAGCACCCTATGAGGGTCCTGGCCCCTATGACCAAAATGAGCAAGAAAAGTCAAAAAAAAAAAAAAAAAAAAAAAAAAAACCTAAAAGAAAGAAATTTGATTGGTGAGTTTCAACCTTGAAACTTCTGTACTCTTTTTCTTTCAATCATTCCACTTGATTCTACCAACTATATCACGTCGTATTAAAATTACAACCAGCATGAGCCTCAAGAATAAACTGTATTGGTAAAAAAAACCTAATTATATGTTTCTTGACAAGTAAATGGATATTTCATCGACCCTCTAACAGAGTCTTAGTCACCTCATTCATTGTCCAAATTCTCCCAGCTAGTGAAGATTCAGTCTCATGAGGGCTCCTTAACGTATAGAAACCAGGTTGCTTAGGTTCGGGTAGCATTGTACTCTCACTATCCAACATTAAGAGCACTGATGACATTGTTGGCCTGTCTGCAGGGCGTTGTTGCACACACAGAAGGCCTACATGCATGCATCTTAATACCTCAGACATTGGAAACGAATCCCCCATCAGGGGATCCATTAGCGCAGAGGTTTTTCCTTCATTCCACAGTTTCCATGCCTGAAATTAATAGAACATATATATCAAGGAATAACATTCCATACAAATTCAAAAAAGGAAGAGAACGGCCTTAATTAGGTGTAAAATTACATGTCCAAGAAGGTTAAGATCATGGTCAGGATGGTGAAACTGTCTGTTCCGTTTGCCACTCACTATTTCCAATGCTAGAACTCCAAAGCTGAAGACATCTGATTTTATCGAAAAGATCCCATCAATTGCATACTCTGGAGAGATGTAACCACTGCATGCCATTATCAAAAGACATAATCACCAAAAATTGAAGATGAGTAGGTAAATCAAAAATGGGGGGAAAAAAAATCTTCGAGTACTTACTAAGTTCCAACCACAGTATTTGTTTTTGCTGATGATTGATCTCCTTGAAAAGCTCTAGCCATGCCAAAATCTGAAATCTTAGGATTCATCTCTGTGTCCAGGAGCACATTGCTGGCTTTAAGATCCCTGTGAATAATTCTTAATCTTGAATCTCGATGAAGATAAAGGAGCCCTCGGGCAATCCCAACAATGATATCAAAGCGCTGCCTCCATACAAAGAAGTCAATTCTTGTGTTACCTGGACCAGCTTTGGATCATATTAAGGAAGGATGATTAGTATATCTAAATCTGGATCTTTTAAGAGTTAATAAAGTGGTATGATTTTTTTAATTAGTAAACTTCTGTCTTTTTCCATATATAATATAAAATTCAATTAATCAACTTTAAGAAGGATTGAGAGGAAACCAAAAATAAAGGAGTCCAAGCTTCCGTTGGGCATATATTCATAAATCAACATTCTCTCTTGTCCTTGAATGCAACATCCCAGAAGCCTAACTAGATTTCGGTGTTGAAGTTTGGCAATCAACCTGACCTCATTTTTGAATTCATTGAGACCTTGATGGGAACTCTTTGAGAGCCTCTTCACTGCTATCTCTTGTCCAGTTGATAGTTGACCGTACAATTTCCAACCACCATACCAATTAATTGGGTTATGTTCATTTTGATTTTTCTCTCAAGTATATGTGACTTCAGCAATAGATTTGAAATTACCTTGTAAACTGGTCCAAAACCACCCTCTCCAATCTTGTTTGAATGAGAAAAGTTATGAGTTGCTTCTGCAACAGTGACCATATCAAAGAGGGGCATTCTAGGTTCTCCTCACCTCTTGATTGGATCTCTGGTCGTATACCTGTTAAATGCAGCACAATAGCAGATGACAAGATCGGGTGGCAAAGAGTTAATGTGTCTTTGGATCTCAATTTGAACATGACCAATTGGCCAAATGGGATCAAGTTTAAAACATTCTGGGTTATCTTTGAACGCCATAATATTAATTATGTTCCGTAGAATTGGTAAGCATACATGATATTGAACATGGACATAGACTTATATGGTTCAACTACTAAGTTTACTAGGTTTGCCACTTGTTTAAATAAATCATTTTCTTGATTTTCCCCATAACAATATTATTCATGACGGTACCCATCCAATTGAACATGGCTGGATGATTTATTAGTCTTCCTTTTTCTTTGTTAAAAATTGATCAAACACTGTTAATGATTTGAAATCTGCTTATGTGACATTGTCAAAATTGGCAAGTTGGTGAGAAAATCAAGCTCTTCCTTCTCCTTTTCTATGCAGAAAATTTTATTCAAACACTAACTCTTTTAATTTCCAACAGGAGTATCTGTCAGTCAGGGACAGGGACAGGTATACTCTTATTAATGCTGTCATTGCATTAATGAATCAATATTTTAAGAACATCTAACATCACCTGACATCACTTTCTTAGTTTCTTGATAAGACTTGCATGGTACTACTTGCTTTTGTAGTTTAAGACTATTATACAGAATAGTCTCCAATAATGGAAGGTGTTGAGAGTTGTGGACTGGGTGAATTTTGGCTGAACGCCCTAAAAATAGGTCCGCAAGGAGCTTGGATCAGGTGCCACACAGCACAAGCATTGTACTGCATTTGATGGTCCAAAAGCCTCACACGTGTGATTGTGCATACATGTGAGGATTGTGGACCCTCAGATGCAGTACAGCTGCAAAGGATCAATTGGTTACCCTACAAATAGGTCTGGGCCTAATTACATTCCTGCCGAAAAAGACTTCCTTGCACCGGTGATACCATGTCATCGGTGTTATCAACCAATTATATCCTGTTACATAAGGAAAAGTGCATTTATTTAGTGCGTTCTATCACTATGTGTCAGCATTCAATTAGTTTTTGATACCATATCATCAAAGTAACAGGAGCATTAAAGTATTTCTTGGCTATAAGGGAAGGTACTGGGAGGGATGGACTAGGTCCAAACTTGACTTGTACCGTTACTTGCACAAATCAACAAAGACATTATCGTACCATTACTACAACAAGTAATGTCCCTTCTCTGCTTGCCTTACTCAAATCTTAAGAGTGAAAAAATAGAGAACTTACTTTGTCTCTGTGGTCTCCTCTTCCAAATGATACAAGAGACGATGAACAGCACTAGGAAAACAATTGATGCAGTGATTGCCAACACCACCTTTTTTTTCGTCTTGGAATGTGACCTTAACTCTAGGAATATAAATATATATAAAGTTTCAATCTAAACCAGCCAAAAGTTTATGCAATTTTATTTAATGCATTTCTTAAAAAAAGGCTAAATATCATGTACCTGGTTCTGCAGCTGTAACACAAATGTAAAGCGTCAGATTACGATTTTCTGTTTGTTTTCTGGCATCAATTAGATCCCCAAACCAGAGCAAGCAACCGCGATCCCCTTTATTAGCATATAAATTAGCGTAAGCTGTACAAGAACAGTTCTTCAAGCACTCTGCTTTACATTCCTCAATGGTCATACTAGTGTTCGTCCAAAACTCCAACAAATCAGGCATTGTCACACCCTCAAGCTCCATAAATTCTTCTCCCGCAGGACAATTCAACAGATTTTTGCGAATGCATCCACCTGACCGTTTAAATTCTTCCCAATCTCGTGATGATTTAGGCATGTATCCTGTAAAACAGCTGCACATGCTAGGAATATCACTAAATGTGCAAATAGCATTAGGACCACACTGGGAATAATTATCACAATCATCGTTAGGAAGTTTATACTTGACAACCCACTTAAGGTTACTACTGTTCCACAAAAGGCGTTGAGGTTCACCTGAGTGAGTTAGCATCATCCTTGTTATGACTCATCATTGTAGAGGCCATATTCAAAATACAACTCTTCTAAATTAGAGATAACCTTGGGGATGATGGTAAGGTCAGGGCTAACGGATAACCCCCTGAACCGCACTCCATCCCACGTCGCACTACGAAATATCTTAACCGATCCCTTGCGAAGGACTAAATGTGGCGGTGCTTTACGATCAAGACCACAAGTGAATTCACCAGGAGAAGGATCATCTTCACTCTTCCATGATGTGAGATATCGGTTTAAACCGATTCTCAAGTCCCATCCCAGCTTCATGCCTGCTAACCAAGTATCAGAGGGATGATCAAACCTTTGCCATAGATAGCTTTCTTTGAACCCGTTGCTCTCATCCCTCAGAACAAGATTTCCAGAGTCTTGGAGCTGTGCAACAATAATTTTTGATGACATGTTTTTGATATTTGTAGACCAGGCGACACTTTCAATGTGGTGGAAAAGGATCAAATTCCCATCGCCCCCAATCTTCATGGTGCCTGATGAATCATTAAGGGGGTAATTTCTGTTTGCCACCCAGACAATGGTTTGAGGTTTGATATTGTAGTACCATATTCCTAAGTATCGATTATTTGAATTGTTTGGACTGAAGAAACCAAGCTGGAATTTTTCTTTGGCAGATACTAAGGTTTTGCCATCAATTATTGATTGAGATGGACTTAAAGTGTCAGTTGGCATGGAGATAACTTTATAAGCTAAAGTTAAAGCCAAAGAATAACCGACAACAGCGTAACTAACAACCCTCATTAAAATGGAGAACAAGTATGAAGGGTAGTATGATATCTTACCTAACTCAAGAGCTCTGCACAAGTATATTTTCAACTTCTGTGATGCCGCAACAATGTGAAGCTTTGCTTTTGTAATGAGTCATCTCAATTCTCCATTGCTAACTTAGGAAGAAATGAAGTATTTAGGAACCTTCATTAGCTTTACCATGTTGAAGATAAGCTTAAAAAAAACATTAAAGTGTGTAAATTCAGTTCTTACAGAAAAGCGCTGTGTGAATGTAAGTAATTAAAAGAATATAAAAGTATTTAATTGACCAAATTTGTGAAGAGGAATACCACAGCTTTGAAAATATTTGCCTTTGAAAGTTTGAAGGGGTATGTCCTAGCAATAAATTAACACTAAAAGAGACTACGAAAATCAAAGTTTATCTACCCTAAGTCTGAAATCCATCCTCACTACAAGATGCTTCTATAGTGAATTACTAAATAGTGTGATAAATTATAGTGATTAATTGTAAAAAATATTATAAATTGTATAAAAAGTAAGGCACTCACGTCATTTGGGAAGATAAAAAATAAAAAATTCAATGTGGAAAAAGAGAACATTAAGAATGGAAAGTATGCATGTAAACAGTAAATTATAAATTGATCAATATAAAATTTAATTGAGCTGATGGCTGAGGAGTATCATTGTTATTTTCCTCCTTGTCTGTGTCTGTATCTCAGTATGCATATGCATGTGTGTTAATTTCAACATGACTCAAAAATTAGGAACACTTCTCCACAAGGGTTGTAGTGCAACCTTCCATAATGTCAGATATCAGTTGATTATTCTTTGTTAAGGATACCTTTCCACTTTTGTTGTGTTCTGAATACGATAATCTTCTTTTTCTTCTTCTTTTTTCCCATCGTATAGACCATTTCTAAATTCCTTCAAACTTCAATATTATTTTAAGTAATGCAGCTAAACTTGAACTTTTGAATTCACTAGAAGTCCAGGAAAATCTATGAAGTGTGGAGCTACAAGCGGCAACTGGTTAATGTATTTTTGTAGATTTTGATGATTTTACTTTTTTTTTATTTAAAAAAGTTGTTAAAGAAAATGGGCTATATGAATAATTGATGTCTCTGGAAATTCAAAATTTGCAACTACTGTCACTGTGCTTCCACAATCCCTGACTTGACAATTGATTAATGCAAAAAAATTATTTGCACTGGTGTGGTACCTCCATCAAATGGATTTAAATCTTTTTAACAGATTTTTATTTCTTAAAATTTGCAACTACTGTCGCTGTGCTTCCACAATCCCTGACTTGTCAATTGATCGATGCAAAAAAATTATTTGCACCGGTGTGGTTCCCCATCAAATGGGTTTGAAAAGTGCCACAAATGGGTTTAAATCTTTTTAACAGATTTTTATTTCTTTCTATGTAGGATTTGGTTTCTGTTAAAGTTGCTCATATAAAAAGGTACTTCTATTTCAAGTTGACGAAGGCAGGCTAGCTGTTTTTTTTTCTTTTTTTCCCTCTTTTTTTTGGTAATTAACGAGACTAGCAATTTCTGAAGTAAGCTTTGTATTTCAATTGATACACAGGGTACAGCTCCTATCTTCACTCTCCTACCCACTCCTTTGTTTTATTTTATTTTAAGTTATTCAAGTTCTTTTCCCCTTTTATTTCTTTATACATTCTCTCTAGTTGAACCATTTCTTTTGGTTTTTCGTTTGTGTATCTTTTTTAGACCCATATGTCATTCAACACTACAAACAGACGTGGGATAAACTGACTAAAATCTTTGTCATATCATCATGATGTTAGCATCAAACGATAAATAAGTCCGTTAATGAGGGCCCCGAGGACCATAATGAGCAAGAAAAGTTGAAAAAAAAAATTAAAAGAAAGAAATTTGATTGGGGAGTTTCAACCTTGCAACTTCTGTACTCGTTTTCTTTCAATCATTCCACTTGATTCTACCAACTATATCGTATCGTATTGAATTTACATCCAGCATGAGGCTCAAGAATAAACCATACTGGTAGAAGAACTTAATTATATGTTTTTTGACAAATAAATCGATCATAATTGGATATGTCATCATTTGTTGTCCAAATTCTCCCAGCTAGTAATGATTTACTCTCATGAGGGCTCCTTAATGTATAGAAACCAGGTTGCTTAGGTTGGGGTAACATTGCACTCTCACTATCCAACATTAAGAGCACTGATGACATTGTTGGCCTGTCATCAGGGTGTTATTGCACACACAGAAGGCCTACTTGCACGCATCTTAATAATTCAGAGTTCAGACATTGGAAACGAATCCTCCATCAGGGGATCTATTAGCTCAGAGGCTTTTTCTTCATTCCATAATTTCCATGCCTGAAATCAATAAAACACATATATCAAGGAATAACATTCCACAGAAATTCCAAATAGGAAGAGAATGGCCTTAATTAGCTATGAAATTACATGTCCAAGAAGGTTAAGATCATGGTCAGGATGGTGAAACTGTCTGTTCCTTTTGCCACTCACTATTTCCAACACTAGAACTCCGAAGCCAATGATATCTGATTTTGTCGAAAAGATCCCATCAATTGCATACTCTGGAGATGTATAACTACTGCATGCCATCGTCAAAAGACATAAATAAATCACCAAAAATTAAACATAAGTAGGTTAGGGGAAAAAATCTTGGAGCACTTACTAAGTTCCAACCACAGTATTCGTTTTTGCCGACGATTGATCTCCTCCAAAAGCTCTAGCCGTGCCAAAATCTGAAATCTTGGGATTCATCTTAATGTCCAGGAGCACATTGCTAGCTTTAAGATCCCTGTGAATAATTCATAATCTTGAATCTTGATGAAGATAGAGGAGCCCTCGAGCAATCCCAACAATGATTTCAAAGCGCCTCCTCCATATAAAAAAGTTACTTCTTGTGTAACCTGGACCAATTTTGGATCATTTTAAAGATGGTTGGCTAGTATATCTTAATCTGGATCTTTTAAGAGTTAATAAAGTTATATCAGTTCTTTGATTAGTAAACTTCTTCTGTTTTTTCCATATCTAATAAAAAATTCAATTAAACAACTTTAAGAAGGATTGAGAGGAAACCAAAAATAAAGGAGTCCAAGCTTCCATTGGGCATATACTCATAAATCAACATTCTCTCTTCTCCGTGAATGCAACATCCCAGAAGCCTAACTAGATTTCTGTGTTGAAGTTTGGCAATCAACCTGACCTCATTTTTGAATTCATTGAGACCTTGATGAGAATTCTCTGACAGCCTCTTCACTACTATCTCTAGTCCAGTTGATGGTTGACCCTACAATATCACCAAACCAATTAATTGGATTCTATTCATTTTGCTGCTTCTGTGTAGGTGACTTCAGTAATAGAATTGAAATTACCTTGTAAACAGTTCCAAAACCACCCTCTCCAATCTTGTTTGAATGAGAAAAGTTATGAGTTGCTTCTGCCACAGTGACCATATCGAAGATGGGCAATTCTAGGTTCTCCTCACCTCTTGATTGGATCTCCTGTCATATACCTGTTAATCACAGCACTATAGCAGATGACAAGATTGGGTAGCAAATAGTTAACATTTCTTTGTGTCTCAATTTGAACATGACCAACTGGCCAAATGGGATCATGTTGAAGACATTCTGAGTTATCTTTATACTCCACGTTGTTAATTTTGTTTCATAGAATTGATATTGAACTTCAACATAGAATTACATGGTTGAACTGCCTAGTTTCCTATGTTTGTCACTTGCTTCAATAAATCATTTTCTTGATTTTCCCCATAACAATAATATTCATGACTCTACCCCATCCACAATTGACATGGCTCGATGATTGAAACTATTTTCCTTTTTCTTTGTTAAAGATTGATCGAACACTCTGAATAATTTCGAATGTGCTCTTGTGACATTGTCAAAATGGGAATTTTGTGAGAAATTCATATTCCTTCTCCTATTCTATGCTGAAATTTTTAATCAAACAAACTCAAGATTTAATTTCCTACAGAAGTGTGTATTAGCCAGGGATAGGGATAAGGGACAAGTATACTCTTATTGTAGGTATTTCCAAATAACTAATCAGCTTGTGGCTGCGTTTGTGGTTTCTTTGTCTGTATTTTAGAATAAATAGCAAAAACTCTTCAACGTGGAGAAAGTTCCTTTTATTGTTTGTTGAGATGACCCAAGAAACACATAATATGAAATATTAATGCTGTCATTACATCAATGAATCAATATTTTAAGAACATCTAACATCACCTGACATCACTTTCTTGATACTATGTGCGTGGTACTACTTGCTTTTGTAGTTTAAGGCTATTACGCAGAATAGTCTCTGATAATGGAAGGTGTTGAGAGGTGTGGACAAGTTGAATTTTGGCTGAACATGTGCCTTTTCGGCTATAAGGGAAGGTGTTGGGAGGGGTGGACTAGGTCCAAATTTGACTTGTACCATTACTTGCACAACTTAAAGAGAGCAAATAATGTCCATTCTCTGCTTGCCCTTCTCAAATCTTAGAGTGAAAAAAATAAAGAAAACTTATGTAACGACCTGAACCCGAGGGTCCGAATCATTTACCGAGTCCTTACCCAAACCCGAGGTCGTCGAAGGACACTATGGTTAATTCCAAGGTCGATACATAGTATACGTGACATCCCAAGGCTATACAAAAAAATGAGATCACTAATATAAAAGATGTCAGAATGGTCCACTAACCCATTCAAACTTGTGAAGTAGCGTCGTCCGCCACTTCCTTCCCGTGACCTGAAAAAAATGTAATAATATGATGGGGTGAGCCAACCGCTCAATAGGAAGTGTCTATGACACACCTCTTATAACCCCGTGAATCCACACAAAGAATAGAGTACAAATAAACGGAATTATGCCTCGGCAAGTAAGTAAAACAGTAATAATTTCAACAAATACATACACAAGTCATCCGACTACTAAGTGTGCAATATATGCCAATGATATGCCATGCCATGAAATGTCACTCCCCATTTCCAAAACAATACCGTTTCACCTTTCCAAACCGTTAGTGCAGTCCGACCCAAGGCGACTCCAAGGCGTCACAAGAGGAGAATTGGCTAACTATGCATGACCACAAGGCAACTCCAAGGCATCGTATCCGGCCTAGGTAGCTCAACCACACTAGGGTATCTCCCTAGTCCCCTCTAGACTACACTAACGCCGCGGACCACTAGGCACCACCTAGGCATTCGGGTTTTTCGCAAACCACTTTTCAAAAACATTTTTCCCAAAAAAAATTTCATTTGCTTTCAAAACAACTTTTCCCTCTTATTTCCCAATGGTAATGCATAAATTATGCAAATCCTTCAATGCCATGACAATATAGAAATTTCATACATATCATCCACATCATTCAAGCATGTTTAAAACATGAATTTCCACACAATATTACATTCTCATATTTTTAAATCATGACATTTTACATGCTTTCAATTCGCAAATCCAACAGCTTAAATACATAAGGCATAAAATAAAATCATTTATTTTCATAACTACAACATCACTTTTCATAGCAATTTAAAATCATAGGGCATATAATACATCAACACTAAGCATGCTTTTTCACCATAAAGAATTTAATCATATTCATAAACTCAATTAACGCATAGCATGCATTTATCACCTTAAATACCAACAACCACAACAAACACAATCAAGATAATTAAAATTAAGCATGCTTAGAGTCAAATTAAACGGAAAATTCACAAAAAATCCAAGAAATTTTGGATTAAAGCACCCCTACCTCACTTAGAAGAAAAAGCCCCAATTTCACTCCAAAATTCGAAATTCCAAAACGCTCCAAATTGAAATTTGCTCCGATCAAAACGGAGGTCTCGACACGCCTGTCGACTTTGCATTCAGTTGCAAAGTCTAAATCTCAATGAAGAAAGAAGATCTAAGTTTGATGTAATGGATAAATAAAAAAATAAAAATAAAATAAAAATAAAAATGAAATGGTGGCTGAGAAGGAGAACTGGCATGAAAAGTGAGGAAGAATGGAATCAAATAATGACCTTATAGCCATTATAAGATTTCATTTTAATGGCAAGTCCCACTGGATAAAAAAAATCAACCATTAACATTATTATTATTATTATATATATTAATCACTTTAGCACCACACAATTAATTAAATAATCAGGTAAATATGCACAAAACAATAATGTATGAAATGCAATGGACCTATGACACAAGCCCCGTGCACAACAATCCCAGTAGTGGGTCCCACCTGGACCTCCCGACCCGAAAAATAGAAAAATGTTGAAATGGCAATCAATGCATTTCCAAGAGTCCTAAACTCAAGGAAAGGTCTTAATCAACACTCTGACACACTTGGCACAACCCACGGTGTCCGGCACGCAAAACGAGAAAAAATGAAAATACCCTTGAAAAATCAGAAAAATTCCAAAAAATGGAGAATGAGAAAAATCGGAAACATTACAACTTCCTTCATCTCTGAGGTCTCCTCTTCCAAATGATACATGAGACGATGGACAGCGCTAGGAGAATAATTGATGCAGTGATTGCCACCACCACCTTCTTTTTCTTCTTGGATTTTTGACTTTAACTCTAGGAAATCAAATATATATTATAAAAATTCAATCTAAGCTTTCCAATAATATTTAATGCATTTCTAAAACAAGCTAAATAGCATGTAACTGGTTCTGAATTTGTAACACGAGGTTCTGAATCTGTAACACGAATGTAAAGCTTCTGATGTCCATGTTCTGTTAGTTTTCGAATATCGATGAGTTCCTTGAACTAGAGCAAGCAACGATTGCCACCTTTAGTAACATATACATTAGCATAAGCTGTACAAGAGCAATTCTTCAAGCACTCTGCTCTGCAGTCCTCATTTGTCAGACTAGTGTTAATCCAAAACTGCAACAAAGCAGGCACTTTTACACCTTTAAGCTTTATAAATCCTTCATCTGCAGGACAATTTAATGGATTTTTCCTAATGCATCCACCAGACCAGATAAGCATTTCCCAATCTTGTGCTGATTTTGGTATGTATCCAGTCAAACAGCTGCAAATCCTAGGATCACTGATTGTGCAAATGGCATTAGGACCACAATAGCCATACTTATCACAGTCGTCTTGGGGAATTGAGTGCATGACAAGCCATTCAAGGCTACTACTATTCCATACAAGGTGTCGAGGTTCACTAGAGTATCTTAATATGGACCTCGTTAGAGTAGACTCATCGGAGAGTACATATATATAATACCACCTCTTCCGAATTAATGGTGACATTGGGGATGAAGGCAACATTGGATGTAACGGGTGTGCTTCCAAATTGAACTCCGTCCTAAGGTCCACTTCTATACTGCTTAACAAAACCCTTACGGAGGACAACTTGTGGTAGTCCACCAATATCAACACCATAAGAAAATTCACCAGGAGAAGGATCATCTTCACTCTTCCTCGAAGTGAGATATTGGTTCAAACTGATTCTCAGGTCCCATCCTAGCTTCATGCCTGGTAACAAAGTATCAGAGGGATGATCAAAGCTTTGCCAGAGATAGCTTTCTTTGGAACCGTTCTTCTCATCTCTCAGAACAAGATTTCCAAAGTCTAGGAACTGCGCAACAATTGTTTTTGATGACTAGACAACGACACTTTATGTGTTGTGGAGAAGAATCAAATCTCCATTACTCCCAATCCTCATGACAGCTGATGTGTCATTAACTGGGAAATTTCTGTTTGCCACCTAGACAATGGTTTGCGGTTTGATATTGTAGTACCATATTCCTAAGTATCGGTTGATGGAATTTTTTTGACCGAAGAAACCAAGTTGGAAATTTTCTCCGCCAGAGATTAGATATTCCCCATCAACAATTCAACGGTTTGGACTCAATGTGTCAATTGCTACGGAGATTGTTGTATGAGATAAAATTAAAGCAAAAGTATGTGTTGAAGGATTTATTCAGAGCCAAGTTGTTCTTGTAATCCCATCTAGAATTTGAGGGGGAGTATTGGAATTATTATCATAGAGCATATTCTCTATGTCTTCATAGTCCTTTCCCGGCGTTGTTCCGGCCATTTCCCGGCGTTGTTCCGGCCATTTTCCGACTTAGTTTTTGCCATTTCCTGACTTAGTTCCAGCCATTTCCCGGCGTTATTCCGCCATTTCCCGGCATAGTTCCGCCATTTCCTGGCTTAGTTCCGACCTTTCTTGGCGTTGTTTCGGCTTTGTTCTGGACACCTTTTCATCATCTTTCAAGGCGTTTCTTTAGCAAGTTGGGCATTCATGATATTCATGCTCCAACTTAAAGAGGAGTGTTGAAATATATAAATATTTCTATATAATTGTGGAGCAAAATCCTCCACCAATCATGGTGATCCGGTCAATTTCCTTCCAATTATAAATATTTCTATATAATGGTGGAGCAAAATCCTTCACCAATCATGGTCAGGGGCGGCTCAATACAATTTGAGGCCTTAGGCGAAAAAAATAAAATAGCCTTTTAATTAAATCTATCCATATATTTATGCCAGCTAATTATTTGTTTAGTGATTTTTAAACCTATCACTAAAATTTTTCCAAACTCTAATTCCATCATTAATTAATTGGCTATGTGCTTTCTAATAGTCATATTTAACAATATAAATAAAATTTATAATTTTATGATAACAAAAATTAATAAAACTATAAACTAATTTAAGTTATAGAATAATAAAAACTGATTTCGAATAATTTGCTCTAATGCTCCAATAAATTCTTTAATTGAATATAAGTGTATTCAAAATCTTTTTCCGGAGTGAGATTGTGATATTGTAAATTGTAACCGTGAAGAAGATGAAAAAACAAAATTTATAACGAGAGAGGAGAAAAAATATGTGAGGATTAAGAAAAAAAGAGAAAATAAAAATTAATAGGAGTCTTTGAAAAATATAAGAAAGTTTCAACAATTTTCACTTAAATATATATTTAATATTTAATTTTAATGTGTGTGTATATATGCTGATGTAAGGAGGATGAGAGAGAGAAAAAAAAAAAAAAAAGAAAAAAAAAAAAGATAATACGAGGATAGAAATATTTTGCACACTATTAAATTTTGTATTTGTTGAGGTTTAATGATATAAGAAAATAAAATATTTAGGTAAGTTATAATAATATATAAAGAAAATAAAATTTGGGGGCCGTCAAAAAAAGATAAAGAATAGAAATTTTTTAGGTCAACTGTTAAATTTCTCTATACGTTGAAGTTTAATAATTAAAGGAAATACTATAATTGTGTTTAGGTAAGTTATAATATATAAATGAATAAAAAATTATGGGGCCTTTTTATTGGCTGGGGCCTTAGGCAACCGCCTAACTCGCCTAAGGCTCGAGCCGGCCCTAATTATGGTGCCTCTTTTGACTATTGTACATCTTTCATATTTTCTTATCTTTACCATGCCTATATGTAGGCTCCTTGTACTCGAGCAATATACAGATTTGAATTATAAATGTAGCTCTTAGTGGCTCTTTGTCCATGGATGTAGGCCTTAGTGCCAAACCATGTATATGCTTGTGTTATCCATATTTCTCTCTTCCTTTTTCCTATTTGCATTTATTATTTCCGCATCCAAAATTTAATATGGTATCAGAGCCAAAGGTCTCGAGTTCAAACCTCACCGTCACCCTAATTAAAAATTGAAATACACGTGTTGGACCAAAAAGAAAGCCACACGTAAGGGGGCGTGTTGAAGAATTTATATTTATAAGTTACACCTTCTCTAACAGCTTAAGTTTTGAGAGTAGATGGTAGTTACCAGTATGACACAGAATGGTAGAACTAGAAATCGTCATTAAATTGGAGAACAAGTGCGAAGTGTAGTATGATATCCCACCTAAGTCAAGAGCTCTGCACAAGTATATCTACAGGTTATGTGATGCTGTTACAATGTTAAGCTTTGCTTTTGCAATTGAATCCTCTCAATTCTACATTCCTAACTTGGGAAGAAATGAAATGCTTAGGAACTTTCCTTAGCTTTGTCATGTTGAAAATAAACTTAAAAAACATTTAAGTGTTTGCAAATTCAATTCTAATCGAAAGGTGATGTGTGAATGTAAATAATTAAAATCATATAAAAGTATTTAATTGACCGAATCTGGGAAGAGAAATACCACAGTTTTGAAAAGATTATCCTTTGAAAGTTTGAAGGGTTGTGTCCTAGCAATAAAACAATAAAAGAAAATACAAAAATTAAAGAAGATCTACACTTGGTATGAATTCAATCTTCCTTACAATAAACTTCTATAATGAAGTATTAAAAAAATAATATGGATTATAAGTAACATAAAAAGTAAGGCACTCCATATAGTTTGAAGGATGGATCTGCAATGAAGAAGAAAGGGAACATAAAGAATGGAAAGTAGCCATGTAAATTATAAATAAATCCATCTAAAATCTAAATTCGCTGATGGCTGAAGAAAATCATTGTTTTTTTCCTCCTAGTCTGTGTCTTTACCGGACTATGCTTATGCATGTGTATGTTCATTTCAACATTACTCAAAAATTACACTTCACAGGGATTTGCTGCACCATTCCATTTTTTTTTTTCCTAGTTGGGACTCACACACTGCCTCCACTGAGGTTCGAACCCCTGACCTCCCTTTGGGAGGTAGGAGCCTTGTACTGCTAGGCCACAGGCCTGTTGGTTTCCATAATGTCAGATACCAGTTCATGTAACAGTTTTCGGTCTTGATCAGCTTCATGACTTCTTGAATCCTTTTCCAATGATAATTTCTAAAGTTATCATAATTCTTATGAAAAGCCAGAATTCTTGATTTTTGGATTTCAGTGTCAACCATTGCTAAACAGATCAGCTTTGCTTGAAGTTATTAACTTTTTTGCTGGGAAGGCGCGTTGGTAGAAAACCACATGCATTGTTTCAATTCTCCAAAGAAAAGGATTCACCTCAACTCAATAAAGCCTATGTGAATATAATCCCACACAATTCATTGAGATGTTCAGATCAACGTAATCTAGTTAATTTTGGCAAGAAGATAGGATTTAGTGAAGTGTATGACCGAGTCTTAATCTGTTAGAAATGTAAGTAATGCAACACAAGCACTAGTACTTATTGAACAGTTAGCAATACATTATTACTACCATATCACACCCCCAACTCCAGTCAGTGAGTCAGCCCTTTTCTTTCCACCCTGCAGTCGTAGCAGTTGAATTTTAGACTCCTTTGATTCCTGACAATGCCTCTTCCATGACATGAAATTGGGTTATAACACGCATGTGGTGATACAGAACCTAAAGTACCTAGTCAATTTGCCATAAGCCCCAGATTTATGGCTTCAGACACTTCACCCGGTAACTGCTGCATTATGTTTCTGTTATATGTTCTGCCCTGTCAGGAATATTTAGGATCGTATCTATGATTCAAAGGACTATGGTAATTTCCTTTTTGTGCATAATGACCAAACTGATCAGAAGAGTATGAAAATAAAGATGAGAATACAGAATGAGAAGAGACAGATAAGTGAACAAGCCATAAAACAATTGGTGGGTGGTTGTAATAATGAAATATTACTTCTCTCCGTACCTTTTGAAATCCTCAATTTCTTTCAAAAGATGAAATTATCTCTCAAGAATGTGGTTTATGGTTTTGCAACTTAGTATAAGAAGTCCTTATCTCTGCTTAATGCAGCAGAGAAGAGACTAGTAGGGACATACTATTTAGAAACAACACAAAAATTTTCTCAGAAGTAGGTTCATGAAATCATATAATTACAATTCACCTATGGGAAAATAAGAAGCACCCATAGATGAGTCCATTACTTTTATGCCTTTTCCTTCCTTCCATAGCCTCCATGCCTATAACATTTCAATGTCATTTTCCTTTTTACTAATCTCACTGAATTAAAGATGTGACTAGGAATAAAAATAAATAAATAAATAAATGACTGGTAGAAGAAAAATCATTGAATATTTTTCACTTACATATCCAAAAAGATTAAGATGATTGTTTTTCTTGTAGAATCCTCTGCTCTTTAATTTTATTTTAAGGTATTCAAGGTCTTTTCCTCTCTTTTCCCCTGCTGTTCATTTATTTATTTTTTGTTTATACATTCTCTCTGCTTGTGCATTTGTTCTGGTTTTTCATTTGTGTTATCTTTTTTTAGACCCATTTATTATCATGTTAGCATAAAATGATCAGTTAGCACCCTAGGAGAGTCCTACCCGAGGACGAAAATGAGCAACAAAAGTCAGAAAAATTAGAAGAAAGAAATTTTATTGGGGACTTTCAACCTTGCAACTTCTGTACTCTTTTTCTTCGAATCATTCCACTTGATGCTACCAACTATAACATATCGTATTAAAATTACATCCAGCATGAGCCTGAAGAATAAACTATACTGGTAGAAGAACTGAATTATTTGTTTCTTGACAAATAAATGGATCATAAATGGATCTTTCATCGACCCTCTATCAGGGAATTAGTTACCTCATTCGTTGTACAAATTCTTCCAGCTAGCGAAGACTCACTCCCATAAGGACTCCTCAATGTGTAGAAACCTGGTTGCTTAGGTTGTGGCAGCATTGCACTCTCACTATCCAACATTAAGAGCACTGATGACATTGTTGGCCTGTCTTCAGGTCGTTGTTGCACACACAGAAGGCCTACTTGCATGCATCTTAATACCTCAGACATCGGAAACAAATCCTCCATCAGCGGATCTATTAGCTCAGATGCTTTTTCTTCATCCCATAGTTTCCATGCCTGAAATTAATAGAACATACATATCAAGAAATAACATTCCACAGATATTCCAAAAAGGAAGAGAATGGCCTTAATTAGCTATGAGATTACATGTCCAAGAAGGTTAAGATCATGGTCAGGATGGTGAAACTGTCTGTTTGCCACTCACTATTTCCAACACTAGAACTCCGAAGCTAAAGACATCTGATTTTATCGAAAAGATCCCACCAATTGCATACTCTGGAGATATATAACCACTGCATGCCATTATCAAAATCAGTGTTATTAAAGGTCCAGGGCACACTAAGGCACTAGAGGTCCTTTGGAGCCTAGGCGCGAGGCGCATGCCTGAGTGAAGTGAGGCGCACAATTAAAAATTTACACTAGCATAAAAGCATTCATATCTCATAAGTCATATCAATATTCAAAAAATTAATATCAAATATAAAAAAGTAAATCCATCAACTATAGAAGCATCCAACAACCATAAAATAGAGCACAAATTTGTTTTCTTAGACAAAGCATAATTTGTTTTTTTTAATGGCAAAACAGAGCACAAATAGAAATAAATCTGTTAACCGGGAAAAAAACAATTAACAGGAAAAGAAAAGAAAAAATAGAGCCAAAAAAAAGTGCACTAGATGAAGAGAGAGAAGTAGACGAGAAGAGAGAGAAAAAGAAAAAAAAGGAGATAAAATAGAGACCAAAAAAAAAAAAAAGACAGAGAGAAGAGAACTACACGAAGAGAGAGAGATGTAAACAAAGATAAGAAGAGAGGAGTAGAGGAGAAGAGAGGGAAGAAGAAGAAAGAACTGATGTGGCTTCACCGTTCGTCTCTGTAAGTAGGGCTTCGTTGTCCGTCTCACAATCTCACTATTTCTTTGTTCGGTTGACACTTTGACTCTTGCGCTTTCTTATTTGTTTATTCTTTCGAACAAAAGTTCCTTCTCATGTACGCTTGGGCTTTCTTATTTATTTATTAAGTTACCAAAAGTAACCTTTTTGGCTTAAGAAATAGAATAATCATATTTAAAAAATAATAAAATCAGTGAGGCACGCCTGACAAACAGGACGAGGCGAAACCGAGGCGCTCGCCTAGTAAACATCAGTGAACCTAGGATAACAACTGGCGCTAGACCTGTGCCTTGAGCCTAGGCGTGCCTTTAACAACACTGATCAAAATACATGAAGAAATCACCAAAAATTGAACATGAGTTGGTAAAACGAAAATGGGCGAAATAATTCTTCCGAATACTTACTAAGTTCCAACCACTGTGTTTGTTTTTGCTGATGATTGATCTCCTCCAAAAACTATTGCCGTGCCAAAATCTGAAATCTTGGGATTCATCTCAGTGTCTAGGAGCACATTGCTAGCTTTAAGATCCCTGTGAATAATTCTTAATCTTGAATCTCGATGAAGATAAGGAGCCCTCTGGCAATCCCAACAATTATATCAAAGCGCCTCCTCCATACCAAAAAACTACTGCTTGTGTTACCTGGACCAGTTTTGGATCATATTAAAGAAGGTTGAAATAGTATATCTAAATCTGGATCTTTTAAGAGTTAATAAAGTGATATACTTTCTTTAATTAGTAAACTACTTCTGTTTTTTTCCATATCTAGTATAAGATTCGATTGATCAACTTTAAGAAGGATTGAGAGGAAACCAAAAATGAAGGAGTTCAAGCTTCCATTGGGCATGTACTCATAAATCAACATTCTCTCTTCTCCTTGAATGCAACATCCCAGAAGCCTAACTAGACTTCGGTGTTGAAGTTTGGCAATCAACCTGACCTCATTTTTGAATTCATTGAGACCTTGATGGGAACTCTGTGAAAGCCTCTTCACTGCTATCTCTAGTCCAGTTGATAGTTGTCCCTGCAGTTTCCAACCACCATATCAATTAGTTGGGTATTGTTCATTTTGCTGCTTCTTTCAAGTATAGGTGACTTCAGCAATGGAATTGAAATTACCTTGTAAACTGGTCCAAAACCACCCTCTCCAATCTTGTTTGAAGGAGAAAAGTTATGAGTTGCTTCTGCAACAGTGAACATATCGAAGATGGGCAATTCTAGGTTCTCCTCACCTCTTGATTGGATCTCCAGCTGTATACCTGTTAATCACAGCACTATAGCAGATGGCAAGATTGGGTAGCAAATAGTTAACATGTCTTTTTTGGGTCTCAATCTGAACATGGCCAACTGACCAATGGGATCAAGTTATAAAAAATTCCGGGTTATCTTTAAACTCCATGATATTAATTCTGTTAGGTAGAATATGTAAGCATACAATATATTTAACTTCAACATAAATTACATGTAGAATATGTAAGCATACAATATATTTAACTTCAACATAAATTACATGGTTCAACTACCTAGTTTACTACATTTGTCACTTTCTTTAATACATCATTTTCTTGATTTTCCCCACGACAATATTATTCATGACTGTACCCCATCCAATTGACATGGCTGGATGATTAAAACTCTTTTCCTTTTTCTTTGTTACAGGTTGATCGATCACTGAATAATTTCAAATGTGCTCATGTAACATTGTCAAAATGGGGAATTTGGTGGGAAAATCATATTCCTTCTCCTCCTATTCCGTGTAGGAATTTTTATTCAAACACCAACTGTTAAGATATAATTTCCAACAGGATTGTCTATTAGTCACGGACAGGGACAGGTATACTCTTTTAGAGAGACTAATTCAATCAACAAATTTTTCAAAATAATTAATTAGCTTGGGATCGCTTTTATGGTTTCCTTGTCTGTATTTTAGAATAAAAAGCAAAAACCCTTCAACGCATAGCAAGTTCACTTTAGAAGCACATAATTTAAAATTCTAATAATTCTGTCATTCCATCAATGAATCAATATTTAAGAACATCATCATCACCTGCATCACTTTCTTGATACTTAAGCAAAGCAAAACAATGACATACAGTCAACTGTAATCACTCCCAAAAGTTACTTTTAAATCATTGGATAAGTTCTCTTTTTTATTTGTGAGCCTTGTGATCTACTTATTATTTTATACTTCCATACTTTTACATCTATCTGAATACAGAATGTTTCCTTAATCCTTGGCGAACAGGCCCTCCAATTTGACAAATTGTGATCCAGAACTTTGGTTGACCGCTGTACAAAATTACAAATAGATTCATTTTAAAGAAATGGGATGAAAATGGGTACTTATTATATCTGGTAAGAATGATGTGGTATTACTTGCTTTTGTAGTTTATGGCTATTACGTGGAATAGTGTCCCATAAAGGAAGGTGTTGAGAGGGATGGACAAGGTGAATTTTGGCTGAATACCCTACAAATAGGTTCCCTTTAAAGAAATGGTTATCATCCCACAAATATGTCCAACCTTTCTCCATTCCTGCCCTAGGGAGAACTTCCTTCTCCAAGTCTTTTCTGTCCCCGAATGCTAGACGTGTGCCTTCTTCGCTATAATGGAAGGTGTTGGGAGGGGTGGACTAGGTCTAAACTTGACTTGTACCATTACTTACACAGATTGACAAAGAGATGATCATGAAACTAAAACTTACTTCCTCACACTTGGTGGTCGATACTTATTGACATTGCACCAAGTAATGTCCACTCTCTTCTTGCCCGTCTAAAAAATTTAGAGTATGAAAAAAAATATAGAAAACTTACTTCTTTGCTGTGATCTCTTCCAAATGATATGAGAGACAATGAACAGCACAAAGAAAACAATTGATGCCGTGATTGCCAAAGCCACCCTCTTTTTCATCTTGGAATATGACTTGAACTCTAGGAAAACAATATAGTTGAAAAATCAATCTAAACAAGCCAAAAGTTTCAGCAAATCTATTTAATGCGTTTCTAGAACAGGCTAAATAGGATGTACCTGGTTCTGAAGCTGTAACACGAATGTAAAGCTTCTGATTACCATTTTCTATTAGTTTTTTTGACATCAATGAGATCCTCATACCAGAGCAAGCAACTGCTACCCCCATTAGTAGCATATAAATTAGCATAAGCTGTACAAGAACATTTCTTCAAGCACTCTGCTTTACATTCCTCAATGGTCATTGTAGTGTTCACCCAAAATTGCAACAAATCAGGCATTTTCACACCCGCAATCTCTATAAATTCTTCTCCTGCAGGACAATTCAACTGATTTTTGCGAATGCATCCACCCGACCTTTTAAATTCTTCCCAGTCTTGTGATGATTTAGGCATATATCCAGTCAAACAGCTGCACATGCTTAGATCACTAATTGTGCAAATAGCATTAGGACCACACACAGCATAATTATCACAATCATCGCTGGGAGTTTTATACTTGACAACCCATTCAAGGCTACTACTGTTCCAGACAAGGCGTTGAGATTCACCAAAGTGACTTAACATCAACCTTGTTAGAGTAGACTCATCATTGTAGAAGGCAGATTCAAAATACACCTCTTCTGTATTAGAGATAACCTTGGGGATGAAGGCAAGGTCAGGACTAATAGAGAACCCCCTGAACTGCACTCCATCCCATGTTGCACTACGAAATATCTTAACCGATCCCTTGCGAAGGACTAAATGTGGTGGACCCTTGTGATTGAGACTATAAGTGAATTCACCAGGAGAAGGATCATCTTCACTCTTCCATGAAGTGAGATATCGGTTTAAACCAATTCTCAAGTCCCATCCCAGCTTCATGCCTGTTAACAAAGTATCCGAGGGATGATCAAAGCTTTGCCAAAGGTTGCTTTCTTTGAACCCGTTGCTTTCATCCCTCAAAACAAGATTTCCGGAGTCTAGGAGCTGTGCAACAATAGATTTTGATGACATATTCTTGATATAATTTATAGACCAGTCGATACTTTGTGTGTGGTGGAAAAGGATCAAATTCCCATCGTCCCCAATCTTCACGGCACCTGATGAATCATTAATGGGGTAATTTCTGTTTGCTACCCAGACAATGGCTTGAGGTGTGATGTTGTAGTACCAAATTCCTAAGTATCGATTATTTGAATTGTTTGGACTGAAGAAACCAAGCTGGAATTTTTCTCTGGCAGATACCAAGGTTTGGCCATCAATAATTGATTGGGACAGACTTAATGTGTCAATTGCTATGGAGATTGCTGTATGAAAGAAAATTAAAGCTACAGTATGACACAGAACAGCAGAACTAAGAACACTCATTATAATGGACAACAATGGAACAATGGTTAAATGTAGTATGATATCCTCTGCATAAGCATATCTCCAATGTGAAGCTTTGCTTTTGCAGTTAGCCATCTCATGTTGAAAATAAACTTAAAAAACATTAAAGTGTTTGCACATTATTCAGTTCTAATATAAAAGTGCAGTGTGAATCTAAATATTAAAGCCGTATTTCATTGACCAAATTGGGGAAGAGGAATACCACTTTTGAAAAGTTTAGCCTTTGAAAGTTTGAAGGGCTATGTCCTGAAGTCTTAGCAATAAAACCCTAATAAAAGAGAGTACAAAAATCAAGTCTACCCACACGAGATATGAAATCGATCTTCATTACAATAATACTGGATAAAGTATTAAAATAGTAAGATAATACTAGTGATAGTAAATAAGTCATAAAACCCACATCGTTTGAAGGGTAACTCTGCAATGAAGAAAAAAAGAGACAAAGAATGGAAGGTATCTATGTAAATTCATTGTTCTTATGGCTGAAGAAAATCATTCATTGTTCTTTTCCTCCTTATCTGTGTCTGTACCGGCTATGCATATGCATGTGCATCATCATTTCAACATTGACTCAAAATTTACAAGTCTCTGCACCCCGTAGAGCTTTGCTGCACCGTTGCATAATGTCAGATACAACAGTTTTTTCAGTCTTCTCGATCAGCCTTTGCCAATGATAATTTCTAAAGTTATCATAATTCTGATGAAAAGCCAGAATCCTTAATTCCTAAACAGATCAGCTTTGATTGAAGATCCAACTTTTTTGATGGGAAGGCGTGTTGGAAGAAAATGGAAAAAAAAAAAACCTAAGAAGATAGCATTTAGTGGAGCGCACAACGGAGTCTGTTAGAAATGTAAATAATGCAGCACCAATTCAGGACATTTAGCAGTACAGTACTACTACCATATCGTACACCCAGCTTTTAGCTGAGAAGATTAGTAGGGGCATATTATTTAGAAAGTTCAGGAAATCATATAATTACAACTTATCTAGGGGAAAAAAAAAAAAACTCAATTAATCTTTCATCTGTGAGGATTAATATTTGAACTTGTAACTGAACTACCTGAATTTACATCAAAGAGATCTACTAATTCTTTAACCTTACACAAAATTGACAAAAAAAAAATATATATACAAACAGAGAAGTTCCAAATGTTCTAGCCAGCTGAGGTCGTGTCTAACTACCGGCCATCTATCATAGTAGTAACTGTAACTTGGTTCACTGTGCATGATTCATGTTGTTTACTTGAAGATGAATCTGTTTCAATAGGCCTTCCAATGCAAAAACCAGGGTGTTTTGGCTGCGGCATTGATGTAGTTTCACTGCTCAACATCAAGACCACAGTCGACATGGTTGGTCTATCCTCTGCTCGTTCTTGAACGCACAAAAGGCCAACTTGTATGCATCTCAACACCTCACATGGAGAGCAAGAAGCACCTGTCGATGAGTCAATTATTTCTATGCCTTTTCCTTCCTTCCATAGCCTCCATGCCTGTAACATTTCAATGTCACTTGCTTGGTTACTAATCTCACTGAATTAAAAATCTAAAAAATGACTGCCACAAGAAAATTCATTGAATATATTCCACTTACATATCCAAGAAGGTTAAGATGATTGTTAGTACTGTAGAATCCTCTGTTCTTCATACCACTTACTATCTCCAGCACCAGAACACCAAAGCTGAAAATATCAGATTTTACGGAGAAGATGCCATCCATTGCATATTCAGGAGACATATAACCACTGCACAATACCCAATGAAGTGTAATAAGCAATATGATGAATTTGAAGTTTGTGATGGTACTAGTGCAGGAATTTTAACAGTGCTTACTAAGTTCCAACTACTCTCTTTGTATTTGCTTCGGTCTGATCTCCTCCAAAAATTCTTGCCATGCCAAAGTCTGATATTTTTGGATTCATTTCTGCATCAAGTAGAATGTTGCTTGCTTTGAGATCCCTATGGATAATTCTAAATCTTGAATCTTGGTGCAGATATAGAAGACCACGAGCAGTCCCATTGATGATGTTGAAACGCCTTTGCCAATTTAATAGTGAGCTCCTTTCTTTGTCTGGAATATTTTTCATTCAACTTAGTAGATGCCATGAATATTAACTCTATATATCAATTTATATATGTATTATGCATGTCAACAATCACAATCTTGTTAAACTTGATATAAAAAGTGTAGTGAGAGGGGACTAACTGAATAAAATGGAATCGAGGCTTCTGTTCTCCATGTACTCGTATATCAACATCTTTTCTTCCATCTCAATGCAACAGCCAAGGAGTCGAACAAGATTTCTGTGTTGAAGCCTCGCAATCAGTCTAACTTCGTTCTTGAATTCTTCAATTCCTTGCCCGGAATTCCTTGAGAGCCTTTTCACTGCTATTATTTGACCTTCTACCATACCCTGTAATTGCAACCCATAGCAGTCACTATTAGTACCTTTGACATTTCCATATATGTATGTTATCAACATGATTCACTTGGAACTTACCATGTAAACGCAACCAAAACCACCTTCTCCTAGCTTATTCGCATCAGAGAAATTATTAGTAGCCATCACTATGGTTCCAATATCAAGCAGCGGTAACTCCAGCTCTTCTGTTGTACCCTCACTCGAGTAGTCTCTTCTACTTGGAATAACTGATTCATTGTGTAAAAAATCTTTACTTCTTTGCAGTGGACCTGCTGATTTTAGATGGTGAGAAATACATAAACATACAGATATATATTATACTGCAAAGTCCTTGCTCATTTTTCAAAAGCATACAAGTTTCTCGTACCTTTCATGTGTCTTCCATTTACCGCGCGTTGCAATGACCTCCTCTTCCATATAAAACATGAAGCTAGTCCAAATAGCAGAACACATATACCAACTGTAATCCCCGCCACCATGGCGTTTCGCTTAGTTTTGTTGGAACTATTTCCAGATCCATTACTCTTACCTTGTAATGCAATGAATAAACTGTTAATAGTGATGTTCCATATGGTTTGAGCATATTGAAAGTTGTTCATTATATTTCTAAGGATCCTAACTGACTATTTGATCATGTCCAATGTGTGGAAATATGTAAATTGATGACATCGCAAGAACCGTAGGTAGAATAGAAGACAACAAGTGCAAGTGCAAATGCAACACCCAAATTTACATCATTTACTACATTTGAGTGAATTGAAGCTGTAAAATGTATATTCTACTGAAAAAATGGTTGGATTGCAATAGTTCGATATCCATAAGAAATGCTAATTCATATAAATATATACATATATTAAGTAAAATTTAATTTAAAATTAATATTTAACAAAGTAATTAAATAATTGTAAATTCTAAAATATTCATGAACATAAAATTGACACAAGGTAAAAGAGATAAAAATATAATTTTTAATTGAACTTTACAATAGGAATTAAATTATTGATAAGCTTATTTTCAAACTCCTAAAATAATATCAAAATCAAGATTTTTTATTACAATCTACTAATATTTTATTTATTTATGTATTATTTATAAAATTAGAAAAGATGTGGAGACTAAATAGACTAAATTATTTATATTTTTTTATATATATTTCCTTGTTTAATTAGAAAGACTAAATTATTTATTTTATTTATATATTTTCTTATCTAATTAGATTTTCTTTCATTAAAAAAAAAAACTTATAATAAGTAATTTGAGTTTTATAGAAACTCTTCTAATTTGAGTTTTATAAAAACTTTTTAAACAACTTATATTAATTTTAAAATAAAAATTCATAATAAATAGGTAATTTGTGTTATTCTAAAAGCATACGTACTAAACATATAAATTTATTATTATAATAAATTTAAAAATAATATACTGAAATACTTTTATGTACCACATACTGAATATATAAATTTATTATAAAAAAATAATATACTGAGACACATTAATGTAATAAAATTGTTTCTACTTTTATATAAATTTTTTATAATTTTATGTATATATGGCTACAGAGTTTATTGTAATTGTTTTTGGCATTTTATGTGTGATGAATCCAAAGCCACCAACAAAGTCAAAGATGTCGGCTGGTAGTCGTTAGATTCGGAGCCGAACAAGTTAGTTGGGCCCATATGCCGTCCAAGAATTGAAATTGGTGGTCTGGTCCAACCCCACAATCTTTTTGGCGGGCCAATAACCCCGAAAGCGACTAATCGTAATCACAACACATAATTAAAGGCCTAATAATATGTCACGCAACCATTCAAGGACCCGGTCATAAATGCAGAAAACAACATACTACTTGGATTCTGAGCTTGATTTGAAATATGACCCACAATTGCATAGTCTACAATAAAAGCATATGTGATTTAAACATGCCAAATGTACTTTCGGCTGATGTACACATAAAACCTAACGTTTCAAATTTTGGATTTCTATTTTCATTACCTTATTGAAAATCCGATTTACAATCACAAACCAAGGTAGGAGTCATTAAAGATTTGAAAATCAAGAGAAAGACGATCAAACAATTCCCAATCATAAAGAGATGCAACAAGTGAGACCCACGTGTTCCATCAGAAGGCTATGGATGCTTGGCGACCTTATTCGGACAATAGATAGGTTCGGGTTTTAATTTCATTTTTCATGTTGAAAAAAAGTTTATACTCTTTCAAACTCAACAAAAAAACATCAGTATAGTCCACAAACATAAAGATAAGAACAAACTTTATAATTCTTGAGCCAAAGAAATCTAAAAAAGCACCACACACACACACGTCAAGATTTCAGTGACATTTTAGTCAAAATAGGTATACTTTGCATTTTTTTTTACTTTTTTTTTTTTTTTTCTTGACAAAAAATACACACTTACATTAGTCAAAATAAGTATGCTTATTAAACTTATTAATATACATTTTATTATTATTTTATTATTATTTTTATTCTGAAGTTCTTAGTTCTTCTTACACACCTGATTAACTTATAGTATTTGACGGACATGGGGGAGTTAATGTGCGCCAAACATAATCAAAATCAAAACAGAGTGTGTATAATCGGGCAGATTGAAGCAAAAATCTAACAACTCAGAACTCAAATTGAATAAAATAAAATAAAACAAAACGTACCTAGATCAGAAGCTGCCAGTTTAACATACAGATCTTGACCGCCCTCGGCCATAGCATACTGCCTAATATCGAGAAGATCGGTCGTCCAAATCACACACCCAAAACCACCTCCGGTAATGTTAGCATTGGCATAAGCTGTGCACGAACAATTGGTCCGACACATCCTCTCACAATCGGCCAGGCTCATACCCTCGTCCAGAAAAGGATTGGAAGAGTCGGGCAATTTCATATGCCTCATTGTCAAAAACCCATCGTCGTTGCAATTCAACTTGCTCTTCCTAGTACACCCATCAAGCCCATACCTCAATTCCCAGGCTTGCGCGTTCTTGGGCTCGAACCCTGTCATACACTTGCAAACCGGCGAAGAGTTTGTATCGCATATCCCATAAGGACCACACTCCTTATAAATATCACATTGATCTTTCGGAGCATACCAAAAAAGATTCCATTGTTTGTCGTCATCGATCCATGTGTAGCGCTGAAGCAATCCAGAGTGGTTCACCAGTAACCTCGAAATCAATGGACTGTCATGAATCTCAAACGAATAGTACACCGCGTTTTTGCTCATAACAAAGTCGAAGGTGATGTTATAGATCGGAGTCATTTCCGGTACGCCACTGAATCTGATTCCATTCCACGGCCCGCTTCGATAAGTTCTTTTCTGTTTGTTTGACAAGAAAACTTCTGGAAAGCCATCAAGGTCGAGCTTGAAGGTATAGTCACCGGAGGATGGATTGTCGTTGCTCTTCCACGACGTCAAGTACCGGTTCAACCCGGTTTTCGAGTCCCATCCGAGCTTCATCCCCGGCAACAGCGTGTCCGTAGGATGATCAAAGCTCTGCCATATGTAGTTTTCAGGGTTGACATCGTTTTCCACTCGAAGAACCAAGTTTCCAGAGTCTAAGAGCTGTGCAATTGTATTGCTTGTTGTTGTCGATTGATTTGATGACCATATGGAATTCGACGATGAGTCGGCCAGGACAAGGTTGCCGTCGTCTCCGATCCTGAAGGCCCCAGACGAGTCTTTGAGAGGGTTGTCTCTGTTAGCAACCCAGACAACTGTGTCTGGGATGTTCTTGTACCATATACCTACATACCATGAGTTGCCTCGTGTGAAAAAGCCCAATTCGAATCTCTGGTCGGAGGAGACGATGGTTTGGTCTTGTGTGAGAGGTTGTGTTGCGGTTATGGTGTCAAAAGCTGCGGCAAAAATTGGGAAGAGAGAGTGTGAACCCAAAAAGCACAAAACTATGTAACAATGGAGCCGCATAGTGATGCTAGTATTTTTCATTCTTCACTCAGAACAACCCAAACCCATTGGCATTGGGGGTGGAGCGTTTTTGCTTCTTTGATTTCATATGATTTGATTCATATTTACGACTTTTAGAATTGTTTAATACCGAAGGAAATTAGGAAGACGGGAAAGGAAAGTGACAGGAAAGGAAAGCATAACAACGTAACCTAATGAGCCCTGTTTTCCTTTGTTCATAATTTTGATTGGACCTTCAAAATTTCAAAATTCTTGTGTAACTCGTTTTTTCTTTTTCTTTTTCTTTTTTTTTTTTCTCTTTTTTCTATCTAACAACATGAGAAAAGTTAGAAATTGAATTAGTAGGTGCAAAGAATCGAAATCTACTACTTTTAACATTCACTGAAAGCACTAACTACTAGGTTATCGAATGATCTGCCCTTGTAACTCGTTGGATAGGCTTGGGCCTGGGCATTGTTTGGTGGTGTAAATTGTTTTATATGGGGACGGAGCTGGGCCCGGTTTTTAAAGTAGAAATGTGAGGAGTAGAAAGGAAAGTTTTCTAGTCAAGAATCTCACGTAATTTTAATCCTTTCAGTCAAATTTTAAAATTAGGCCGGTCAATTACCTGTCAATCTACAACGTTGTCTCTGAATGTGACTTAACTACTATTCTAATGTGCCCTATAATTTAAAATTTGGTTATGAAAATTTATTCTGGCATATGGTGGTAATCATTGTAGACCGGAGTTGTCTTTACATATTTTAAAACTATAAACCAGCCCCTCCTGCACAACAAGATGGAAGTGTACAAGGACACAATGACATCACCAATTCTAAAAGTCTTACTATTGAATCTGTCTTTTTGAAAATAATATATATATATATATATATATATATATATATATATGTCTTTGGACTTAGCCCGCCAATCTGACCTTGACCTAGCCAAGGAATACGACCAGATTTATTTGATAATCATTAAAAATATTTTTTAATAGTTACCAGTTTTAGTTTAGTAAATCGTCTAAACAAAGCTAAAATTTGAAACATTTAAAATAGAAAAATTATACATAAGTAGAGTTAGGAGTCTATTTTAAAAGTTTATTTTTTAATTAGATTAAATCAAATAAAATAATTACAAATACATCAAGAATTATTATTAAGGTCTAAAATATCCTTCAAGCCCTTATTAAAAAATATCAAAATAACTTTCTTATAATCATATAATTTCAATATACTAAAATAAAAAATTAAAAAAATAGGAAACTATGGAAACCTTAATAATAATAGCTGATATTAAGGTGCTAAATTCATGTCCAAATATGGAATTACAACCAAAAGTTTAATATTTAGCAAAGCTGAAATAAAAGGTGTTAATTACTATAAATATAAGTTAAAGATTTTGAGTCCATAAATAAGACATGATCAAGAATGTCATTTACATAATATGTCGAAATACTTGTAGAATAAAAAAGAATTTATTTAAGAATGAATTTATATTTAGAAAAAAATTCACAATAGTTGTAGTAAATCTGGATGAATTCTCTAATAAGGATGTTCTCACCTCATAAGGAAAGGTTTTATTGGAAGACAAATCTTCCATAAAAGTAAAAGATGAGTTATCCTTACTTTTTGAACAAAAATCTTAAATGCATCACATTTTTGAGCAATTTTAATTAAATGATTGTACTTTAGTTACGAATTCATTTAATCTCATCAAGTATCAAAACCCCTTCTTAATATAACAAATGTGCAATTCACCCCTATTATTCACAAAAACCCCTACATTTTACAATTTGTGCAAATAAAGACATTAGGTCAATTTAGTCATTGAAATGTCTAAAATACCCATAAAATAAAATAAAATATAATAATAATAAATCAAAATATTTCATCTCTCCTCTAATTTATTTTTTCTTTTTGTTTGAAGGTCTCTATCCCCTCTATTTCTCTTTGTCTTTACTTTCTGGTGGGACTCTCTTTCCGGCTACTTCCATATCTGTTTCTCTCTATCTTCTCTTTTTCAGCAACTTCCATATATTTATTGATCCTCATAATAACTCTGATTTTAGAAGCAAAATCCTTCTTTTTCTCCCTCTAACATATGGGAGTACGCGTGGTTGCGAGGATGTACATAAAAATTTTCATATAATTTATTTTTTTTTATTTTTGGAATGTAAATATTACTATGATATGAAGGATCACCCCAGGGGCTTGGTAGAGTTGGTAAGACAATGGCCTGGGGTGCCATATGTCCTAGGTTCGTGAGTTCCTGTCGTATATAGACTCTGGACATATTGAAATTACTCATCTTCAGTAAATATTAATAATCTTTATATTTCAAGTTTTTATTAAAGTAATGATTTTTAGACGAGAGTTAATTGATTGTTGCTGAAGTCGAAATAGGCGATGAAAATGTATGGTGATCTTCTATGTTGTAGAGACTAGAGAGAGAAAGAGAGCTGAGAGACTATATATAAAGAGAGCTGAGAGACGATATTGAGAGAGAAAGGAAAAGAGTTTTTTTTTGTTTTTTTCCTTACATCAGCAAGGGCATTTTAGGTTTTTTAAAAAAAAAATTGGTCAAAATTGATAATTAGGGAGTAATTTGTTCAAAAGGTTAATAATACAAGGATTTATATACACTTAATTTTTAGTGGGGATGTTTCTTGCATATTTTTTATATAGTGATGGGGTTTTATGCACTTAACCCATTTTAATATTATAAAATTATATAATTTTAAAAAGAATATTTTGGTATTTTGGAATAAGAGCTTAGATGACATTTTGAATCTTAACAATAGTTCTTGATCAATTTGTAATTATTTTTCTTAATTCAATCAAAGTGAAAAATCAACTTGACTCCTAATACTATATATGTATAGTTTTCTAAGTATAGATGATATTTTAGGTAACTATTTTTCTTAGACAATTTTTTTTATTTTTTTATTTTTAATAAAAGACAACTTCACCCTTTCTTTTTTAAAGTTAACATTTTATTAAAAGATATTATTATAAAATTAGCACTAGAATTGTTTTAAAAAATATTATTTTTCTAGTTTTAAAAAATAAGGTAAATTACACTGATCACCCTTACAATTTGGATAAATTACACACGGATAGAACATTTGGCTTTTATTACTTTGACCTCTCTTACAAGTGTGAAATATATTTCATACCTTTCTGATTTAGTTCATGACCTATTAGAATGCAATGGATTAACAATAAAATAAGAGTTAAATGCTCTACTGACCTATTAGAAGGTCAGTATAATTTACTCTAAAGTTTTTTTATTAGTAAATAGATTAACAAATAATTTAATGGTGAAAATTGCTTCATATATATAATGTGTCAAGAAACATCTAATTTGTACTGATTTGAGACTTGAATAAACCTGTCAATATCTTAAAAAAAGAATTGGTCGTTTGTAACTCTTTGATATCTTTATGTCTGGTAATAAAATGAATAACCCCTTGGTCATTTTCACACTGAAATAAGATAATAAATTGAGCCCCTAACTTAGAGGTTAAGTCTTGATTATAAGTCTATAAATTTCAATTCCCTAGCAACAGACCGTAGCAGGTTACTTTGTCCCCTTAATTGGAGTGGATTATTAATTGTAAAATCAAATGGTAGCATTTTCAAACACAATTTGTTCAAATGAGTCCAGAGAAATGGATTATATAATTTGTTAGAAGTTAATAGAAATTATTTTAAATTGTTGAAGGAAAATGGCGGGATTAAATGATTAACACCTAACTAAGAAAATAGGATCTTTGAAAATTTGAATATGAATTATTGATTGAATTAATGTGTTGACTTAAAAAACAAGGATAGATTATAGTTTAGACTATATTAGAGAGCGAATCAAGGTGGTAGGTAAGCTAGAATATTACAATGATTTCGTTGAACAATAATGGCTGAATAAAGTAATGAAAATGCGCACCATTATTAGAATTTTTCTTTTTTCTTTCCCCCATTTTTTTTTTTTTTTTTTTTTTTTCCTTAAGGTAAGTTCACCAAAAATCTTTTATTTGTAAAACAAAATAGCACCATTTTATAATCAGATTTGTTAAATTAAGTACAAAAATACATTATAGTTTATTACTAATGAAAAAATTAGTTTAATTAAGTAGCTGAAACTTGAAAGAAAGGAGCGGATTAAAATGACTAATATACCCAACCTCCAATAAAGCCTAGTAATTGGTACCATTTCGTTGCATTGATACAGTAATTGGTACCATTTCGTTGCATTGATACGAAGACATGCATGGAAGTTGGTATCTTTTTTTTAATAAATAAATAAATAAAATAAAAAATAAAAAAATTGCGTTCCCAAATCTGAAAAATGAATTTTTATTCAAATTTTTAAGGATGATGCAAAAAAAACCCCTCGACTTTCATCCTTTTGCAAAAAAAAAAAACGGTTATAAATATCTTTAGCAATTAACCCCCCAACTATCATGAGGGGGTCATTTTAACTCACCTCTGTTAGAGTGATTGTCTGAGGAAAATTTTCGAACAAAATTACCTTTAACATGAAGCGTTCATTTGAATGATTGTGTTATAAAATTTTCAAACGAAATTACCCTTAAAATCAAAACCATACATTTGTATTACTAAAGTATCCACTACTCAATTTTTTTAACTGCATAAAACACTAGAATAAGGCCTATAATTTTGAAACAAGGCTTTTGATATTTTCTTTGGAAATGTTCTTGCATTCGGAATATATATAGTAATATGGTAGTTATCTATCAAATGTCAACTTAAATTGATTTTGATGAAGAAAAAAAAAAAAAAAACAAACTTGTACCATGATTTTTTATAAAATAAGATAAAGAAAAAGATATACACGAGAGATTCAAAAATATCAGTATCATGATTTTTTATAAAATTTCAAAGTATAAATTTATCAAACTATGTGGCAAAATCATCTCATAATTTGGAGGAAGTGGCTTTTTTCATATATATGTGTGTGTGTGTGTGCGCGCGCGCGCGCGTGCATAGCATATCACAATTTAATAGAAAAGTATTGGAATTAAGATTTATGATGTTGAAATAAATCAAATGTTATGTCATAATAAACGTTTTTTCTACAAAATAAATAAATAATTAAAGATAGTCCAAACAAATATTTGTTAATATTTAAGTGAAATATCTTTTGACTATAAAAAATAAAAAATAAAAAAACAAGTGTGAAATATATTTTGTGGGGTAGGGGAGGGGGGTTTTATTTTGATATTATGGTGGACGCCATTGGATTTTTTTTGAGTAAGTTATATCATAATTTTTTAGAATCTTATAAATTTCTATTTTTAAATTTTATAAAAAAATCATATGTAACGACC